GCTGACGAGGTCGTTGGAGGGAATTTCGGTCTCGGCTCAATTTCTGGAGCATTTCTCCTACAGGAGCTCTTTGAGGTGGCTGAAGAAGTGGTAGTTGGCAAGCCAGAGGCCGCTCGTGTCTAGTGAATGAGGCAGAATTTTGTAATCCGGCTCGTTTAACTTTTGTAATGTCGTTAGTTGGATGTGTGGATGAGTGTTACCGTAGAGAAGAGCTGTTCATTTCGTGCAGCGTCTTTCTGTCGAGATTTCTCCGCTTTCAAATCTTCTTCAGATGCTCGAAACAGTTGGGATGGTTACACCAAGTCCTCTCGCAAGTTCTCGAAAACTTGTTCGGTACTGCCTTCATCAAAGCCTTTAGTTCATGGCCGTCAATAGCTGAAAGACGTCTTCGACCATCTTTATCTTCAAGGCTGAAGTCAACACAACGAAATTTTCCACAACAACTGCGCTTTAGGTTCGTTAACGATGTCTCCGCCTCATATCTCATTGATGCTTCGACCTGTTTGAGCCACGCACTTCCGAGTTTGATATCGTTGAACTACATTTGTTGAAATGCTTTCACATCCGAGGTTCTGGCCTGTCAACATGTGGAAAATGCAAATTATATTACAAATTATTTATAGAAAGAGAAAAGCGCAGAATAGGCTTTGCGTTGATTTGTAATAATACGGCGCCTGAGAGGTTATTAGTTGAATGCATTCAATAGGAAGAAAACATTTCAAAACTTGAATCCGAACACCCTAAAAAGCCTTTCAAATAGATATTCGATCAAATAGATATCGATCAAGCCTAGTCTTTCAAATCGATACTTTAATCCGAGGGATATCGCTTTTTGATAATGAATGCCATAGCTTTTTTTGTCTTCGGGAGCCATTTTTATGTGTTTTAACGTATTCTTTAAAAATTAGATTTTAACTTAATCTGAATTCCAGTTCTTCCAAGGCGATATTTCCCCTAAAACAGATCTTTTCCTTCAAAGTAGAATTAAGGCAACTAGTGATTTTCTTCGAATTTTTGTTGAGCAAACGCGAGGTGTTACTATTCTTCGTTCACGATTAAGCTGACGTTTCGGCGAATTTCGCCTTCTTCAGAGCCGCTTTCTATGAGGTTTCCACTAAGTATGTCACGTAGAGACCAACCGCACAGAAATCACGTGGAAGTATA